TAATAATAAAATAAAAAAACAAAACATTATGAAGGAGAGATAAAAAGTTTCCCAGACAAACAAAAATTAAGGAGTTTGTGACCACTAAACCAGCCCTGCAAGACATTTTAACGGGGACACTTTGAGGGGAGAAAAGATGAAAACAAATATATATAAATAAATAAATACCAAAAGCAACAAAGATTAGAAAAGACTAGAGAACACCACCAGAAACTCCAACTCTACAAGCATCATAATGGCAATAAATTAATATCTTTCAGTACTCACTCTAAGCATCAATGGACTCAATGCTCCCATCAAAAGACATAGGGTAACACAATGGATAAGAAAACAAGATCCATCTATAATGCTGTTTACAAGAGACCCACTTTAGACCTAAAGACACCTTCAGATTGAAAGTAAGGGGATGGAGAACCATCTATCATGCTAATGGTCAACAAAAGAAAGCCAGAGTAGCCATATTTATATCAGACAATCTAGACTTTAAAATAAAGACTGTATCAAGAAATGAAGAAGGGCATTATATCATAATCAAGGGGTCTATCCACCAAGAAGACCTAACAATTGTAAACATTTATGCGCCAAATGTGAGAGCACCCACATATATACATCAATTAATCACAAGCATAAAGAAACTCATGATAGTAATACCATAATAGTAGGAGACTTCAACATCCTACTCACAGCAATGGATAGATCATCTAATCAAAAAATCAACAAGAAAACAATGGCTTTGGATGACACACTGGACCAGATGGACTTAATAGATATATTCAGAACATTTCGTACTAAAGCAGCAGAATATACAATCTTCTCCAGTGCACATGGAACGTTCTCCAGAATAGACCATATACTGGGCCACAAATCAGCCCTCAGCAAGTACAAAAAGATCAAGATCATACCATGCATATTTTCAGACCACAATGCTATGAAAGTCGAAACCAACCACAAGAAAAAATTTGGAAAGGTAACAAATACTTGGGAGACTGAAGAACAACCTACTAAAGAATGAATGGGCTAACCAAGCAGTTAAAGAGGAAATTAAAAAGTTCATGGAAGCCAATGAAAATGATAACACCACAACCCAAAACCTCTGGGACACAGCAAAGGCAATCATAAGAGGAAAGTATATAGCAAGCCAGGCTTTCCTAAAGAAGGAAGAAAGATTTCAGATACACAACCTAACCTTACACCTTAAAGAGCTGGAAAAACAAGAGCAAATAAAACCCCAAACCAGCAGAAGACAGCAAATAATAAAGATTAGAGCAGAAATTAATGCTATCAAAACAAACAAACAAAAAAAAAACCCCAGTAGAACAGATCAATGAAACCAGAAGCTGGTTCTTTGAAAGAATTAACAAAATTGATAAACCACTAGCCAGTTTGATCAGAAAGGAAAAGGAAAGGACCCAAATAAAATCAAGAATGAAACAGGAGAGATCACAACCAACACAGCAGATATAAAAATAATAAGAGAATATCATGAGCAATTATATGCCAATAAAATGGGTAATCTGGAAGAAATGGACAAATTCCTAGAAACATATACTACCAAAACTGAAACATGAAGAAATAGAAAATTTGAACAGACCCATAACCAGTAAGGAAATCGAATTAGCAATCAAAAATCTCCCCAACAACAAGAGTCCAGGGCCAGATGGCTTTCCAGGGGAATTCTACCAAACCTTGTTAACAAGGAAGAGTTAACACCTATTCTCTTGAAACTGTTCCAAAAAATAGAAATGGAAGAAAAACTTCCAAACTCTTCCTATGAAGCCAGTATTACCTTCATTCCAAAACCAGACAGAAACCACACTAAAAAGTAGAACTACAGACCAATTTCCCTGATGAACATGGATGCAAAAGCCCTCAACAAGATATTAGCCAACCGGATCCAACAATACATTAAAAAAATTATTCACCACGACCAAGTGGGATTTATACCTGGGATGCAGGACGGGTTCAATATCTGCAAAACAATTAACGTGATTCATCACATCAATAAAAGAACAAGAACCATATGATCCTCTCAATAGATGCAGAGAAAGCATTTGACAAAACATAGCATCCTTTCTTGATAAAAACCCTCAAGAAAGTAGGGAGAGAAGGAGCATACCTCGAGATCATAAAAGTCATATATGAACAGCCCAACGCTAATATCATCCTCAATGGGGGAAAACTGAGAGCTTTCCCCCTAAGGTCAGGAACAAGACAGGGATGTCCACTCTCACCACTGTTTTTCAACATAGTATTGGAAGTCTTAGCCTCTGCAATCAGACAACACAAAGAAATAAAAGGCATCCAAACTGGCCAGGAGGATGTCAAACTTTCACTCTTAGCAGATGACATGAAACTCTACATGGAAAACCCAAAAGATTCCACCAAAAAACTACTAGAACTGATCCATGAATTCAGCAAAGGTGCAGGATATAAAATCAATGCACAGAAATCGGTTGCATTCCTATACACTAACAATGAAGCGACAGAAAGAGAAATCAAGGAATTGATCCCATTTACAGTTGTACCAAAACCCATAAAATACCTAGGAATAAATCTAACCAAAGAGGTGAAAAATCTATACACTGAAAACTATCGAAAGCTTATGAAAGAAACTGAAGAAGACACAAAAAAGTGGAAAAAGATTCCATGCTCCTGGATAGGAAGAACAAATATTGTTAAAATGTCAATACCACCCAAAGCAATCTACATATTCAATGCAATCCCTATCAAAGTAACACCAGCATTCTTCACAGAGCTAGAACAAATAATCCTAAAATTTATATGGAACCAGAAAAGACCTTAAATAGCCAAAGTGATCTTGAAAAAGAAAACCAAAGCAGGAGGCATCACAATCCCAGACTTCAAGCTATACTACAAAGCTGTAATCATCAAGACAGTACGGTACTGGCACAAGAACAGTCACTCAGATCAATGGAACAGAATAGAGAACCCAGAAATGAACCCACAAACACATGGCCAACTAATCTTTGATAAGCGGTGCTGGGAAAACTGGACAGCAACATGCAGAATGAACCTGGACCACTTTCTGACACCATACACAAAAATAAACTTAACATGGATGAAAGACCTAAATGTAAGACAGGAAGCCATCAAAATCCTTGAGACGAAAGCAGGCAAAAACCTCTTTGATCTTGGCTGCAGCAACTTCTTATTCAACATGTCTCTGGAGGCAAGGGAAACAAAAGCAAAAATGAACTACTGGGACCTCATTAAAATAAGAAGCTTCTGCACAGTGACAGAAACAATCAGCAAAACTAAAAGGCAACCAATGGGATGGGAGAAGATATTTGCAACTGACATATCAGAAAAAGGGTTAGTATCCAAAATCTATAAAGAACTTATCAAACTCAACACCAAAAAAATAATCCAGTGAAGAAATGGGCAAAAGACATGAATAGACACTTCTCCAAAGAAGACATCCAGATGGCCAACTGACACATGAAAAAATGCTCAACATCACTCATCATCCAGGAAATACATAGCAAAACCACAGTGAGGTACCACCTAACACCTGTCAGAATGGCTAACCTTAACAATTTAGGCAACAACAGATGTTGGTGAGGATACAGAGAAAGAGGATCTCTTCTGCATCATAGATGGCAATGCAAGCTGGTGTAGCCACTCTGTGAAACAGTATGGAGGTTCCTCAAAAAATTAAAAATGGAACTACCCTACGACCCAGCAATTGCACTACTAGGCATTTATCCATAGGATACAGGTGTGTTGTTTCAAAGGGACACATGCACCCCCATGTTGAGAGCAGCACTATCAACAATAGCCCAAGTATGGAAAGAACCCAAGTGTCCATCGATGGATGAATGGATAAAGAAGATGTGACACACACACACACACACACACACACACACAATGGAGTATTACTCAGCAATAAAAAAAAAAATGAAATCTTGCCATTTGCAACTACATGGATGGAATTGGAGGGTATTATGCCAAGTGAAATTAGAGAAAGACAAAAATCATATGACTTCACTCACATGAAGACTTTTAAGAGACAAAACAGATGAACATAAGGGAAGGGAAACAAAAATAATATAAAAACAGGGAGGGGGACAAAACAGAAGAGACTCATAAATATGGAGAACTGAGGGTTACTCGAGGGGTGTGGGAAGGGGGATGGGCTAAATGGGTAAGGGGCACTAAGGAATCTACTCCTGATATTGTTGCACTATATGCTAATTTGGATGTAAATTTTAAAAAATAAAAAATAAAATTAAAAAAAAGTAGTGATCGAAAACCAATGCCACTCTTGGCATTCTCTTGGAAAGAAATTATTCTTGAGTGGTAGAACTGAGGAATACTATATCCCAATGTTCTAAAAAAATCTGTTTTTTCAGGGTGCTGGCTACTGCAAAGTAGAAGGGGAATGGTTATACACAATCCACTTAAAGTTTAGAATATGACCACCATTTGTCCTATTTTACTTTAATTGCATAGACAATATTCTTAAGTGTTTCAATCCTTCCTTTATTCTTCTAAGGAAAATTCAGTGTGTGTGTACATGAGTATGTATGTGTATGAGAGATTTTTCACTGCATTCGTACTGTCACTTTGGCCATAATTTTTAAGCACTAATTGTGTTACTAAGTTAGGCCAGGAATGCATTGCCCCAATTCTGGTCTTTTTGATGGAAGCAAATAATTAAGTTGTCAGTTAAAAGTAAGAAGGGATAGAAGGACCAGGGAAAGGGGATCTTTACTTACTACATTAAAGTTATATGACATAAAGTCTTTCAATATTGATGGCAATACATACGTCAAAGCAGATATAGGTATAGTATCTCACAGTTAAGGAATAAGTCTTTAGTAGGTTCCAAAAAATACTAGCTTTCCTATGGAGGAAAGACAATTAGTATGCATAATTTAAAGTTACCATATCAAACACATGGCCCTTTTGCAAAGCATCATAGCAATCTGAAAAAGAAAAGTTCATATATTGAAATAAACACAAAATAAACCAATTAATTCTGAATAAGTAGTAACAACTTTATTTTAACTCAACGTGCTGAAATGCAAAAAATATTTTCAGCAACAAGATACAAAAAGTATGTATCTTATCATTAACATCAGCTGATTAAAAATGAGGCTGAAAAGTTCAATATAAGTCTTTACACATTTGAATCTTGAAAATCAATTTCCCCCAGAATTAATTTTTAAATAATTTTAGCATAAGTTTCTTTTCAAAAATGGGACTCACTTAAGTTATATCTTCATTCTAAAAAACTGGATGTGAAATTAGCTGGGTTACAGTATACAACAATAAACTCTAACAGAAAAATATTTAAATATAAGAATTCCTTTTCAAACATAAAGTCCACATACTGCAAACAGAAGACACGGTGTGGTGATTTCATTCCTAGTGAAGAGGAAGTCTTGCATATGTTAGGCACTCAATATTTGTTCACCTGGACCTAAAACTGACATCATTCCATGAACACTTAAATAAAGTAGAGCTCATAATCTGTATAAAAGAGGTTTGCACAATACTCTTCTATATGCTGAAAGTGCTGTCTTTATAATCTGAAGACACTCACCCACCCACATTATTTTGCAAGAATACACTGACTTTTATCCATCAAAGAGCATGAAGGTCCAAATCAGAATAATTCACCTTTTCATATATACATGGTTATGAAGAAAGCTTTGTTGAGGTGGATTTTAACGAAACAACTTACTGAAGTCTCTAGTGTTCTAATTTAGTAACACTGGGTAGCATATATGACCCATATTTTAATAAAAATTTTACTTGGGTTTTAAATTTATGCACAAAATTTAAATGGATAAATAAATTAGTATAACATTTTTGGCAATTTAAATTCTAACTTAGGTCTAGTTTAAAAATAAGCTAATAATGCTCATGGTTACTTTTTAAGAGTTCTTTGCGAATATTTTAAAACTGAACTTTAAAACTGATGTCCTAAAAAGGCACTGTTTTCATATTTCATCATGCAGTAAAGGTCACATTTTTGAAAATTATAATTTCTTGTCCATCAACTGTCCCCCCAAATAAAGCACATTTAATGAAATATTTCAACTAACCTGAATTTTCAACACTTAACTGAGTCCTATTTTCAGAAATTCACTCTTCTGAACATACCACACACAAGTCTAAGCAAATACAAGTATATGTACACACACACACAAACACGCACACACACGCCCAAATGACATAATACATGCATGGTTCTCCAATTACTATTTCAAGACAATGACACATGAGTATTCAAGGAGGTAACAATGGCAAGCCATAACATTATGGCACCTTCATATTTGTGCTCTAAATACCAATATACGTTAAAATTTAAAAACAAAAAAGGCACAAATATAGTGTTTCTGTATCTCAAGCTGAAGAACAGTTTTCTAATGGTTACTGTGATAACATATAACATTTAAAACCAATCACTTCTTTTTTAAGGAAAAGTTCTGTTTAGGTGACAAAAGGAAAACAAGAGCAGGCTGATAAAAGGCAAAGCTGCTCAGGACAGTCTGTGCCTACTGAACACAGTAGTGTGTAGTTTCAAAACGAGAAAATAAAAAGGCTATTAGAGCACTTTTGTCAGAATACATTAAGTTTTTTTTTCATTGCCTCAAGAACCCACAATACCAAAAAAAAACCCAACAAAAAACAAAAACCAAAAACAAAAAACCAAAAAAAAAACCCAAAAAAACAAAAACCCCAACCCATAATAAATAAAAAAATAAATCAACTATGATAGGATTCTGTTAGTATAATGGTAGGCATTATATTATCTGAAACGTGGACATTTCTAGAGACATGGATATTCTCACAGCACAGTGTTTGACGTTTTTGGTACAAAATGTACTACCAAACTACAAACAAAAAACGAAAAAAACCCTTTATAATAAAACCCTTAGGATTTGCAATAAACACTAAATTAAGTAGGTAAAAGCAAGCCGAAATGCTCATTATATGGGTGTTATTACTGAAGTCACTATGGTTAGAAACGTAGATGCAAGCAGTGAATTAATTCACAATGTGCCTACGTGCATTTGATATAAATGGATACACCAATATATATATATTTTTTGACTCATGACAACAAAATTCTATAGCCTGAGGAATTTTGTTTTGTTGTAAGACCCTGGCAAAATATTAAAAATCTTAACGTGTATATGTATGTGCGTATGTACTTTTTAAATTGTACATTGTAAATTTAATGGACTCAACTTGGTTAAGGAAGTGAGTTTCTGTTTCCTATAGTATTCTTACATAGGATGAAGTTCAATCACATGTAAGAATCCTTCTATCTCAAGGGATTCTTCCAATTTCAAATTTAACAAGATTCCAATTAAACTACATAGAAAGAAATGAAGATATCTGAAAATATGATCTTTTCAAACTAGTTTGCTGTGGTTAACAAATGCTTATCTGATAGTGATTGTTCAATGTAAATATGAATCACTCTTGATATATTCTGACTGCTTCAGTGAATATGTAACAAAGAGATAACAAAAATAAAATCTATTTTAAAACCTCAGGCTCCTTTTTTTTCCTTTTGTTCTAAATTCAAAAACTAAATAAACAAATTATACAAATTTTAATCTGGAGAATAAAGTATGTATGTGAATATATAGGTATATGCATTTTTTTCCAGTGACACACTTTTCCCCTTGTGGTCAAGTATAAATCTTGCCTAAGAAGCATATTGTCACTATTCCATGAAATCAGATGCAGTGACTTGCCACTGCTCCTACTTCTCTGGGACAATGCACCAGGACAGACCTTCACTGTGAACAGAGCTATCAAACACTGAACATGTGTATGTGTTTAAAGCTAAATTCATGTATAATAAAGAACTGGCCCATGAAAAGCAGTTTATAAATAGTTTATCCTGTTCACATTATGCAGAATTTCAGTATCATCCACAATGTTAGTACAGTAACTGAAACAGAAAGGAGAAAGCTAGGGGGGAAAAGGTTCAGAGTGTGGCCTAACATATTTCTAAGGGTTCTCTCCTTTAGTCTGCAAATATCAGTTCACTATTTTTAGAAGGAGAGTAGAGTGTCCAGAATTTTATTGTTCAATTGCCTTCTCCAAAGTGGGATAAGACAGAGTAAATTCAATAATAAATATCTGAAATTCAAACCAATTTAACTATAATCAAGAATACCTTTCTTATCTATTATCACAAACATCCCAGTTGCCTCCCTCAGTCTTAAAAAATTCTTGCAAAAGTTAAGACACAATTAATTATACCTTATTAATACCCTCAAAAACAAACAAAAAATATATGTACCATTTAGCATACAAAAGTTACACATGAAAAGTGCATATATATATATCTTTCTTAATTGGCCCACTCATTAAATTTACATTTGGTCATCCTTTCTTTCAACATGGACAGAATTCTTCATATAAATGTAGGTCACTACAAATTAAAAAAAAATTAATTCAGCACAAAACATGCTTTCTTTTTATTGAAATCTTAACCTCAATCAGTTCTCAGTCATTGTAAACTTGAACAAACCCACAAAGAAACACAAGCAAAGGTTTGTTATGCTTCTCTTAGTCTGCTGGACAGTCAACACACAGAAAAACATCCAAATTTTACTAAAAATTTGGGCCAACTCATTGCATATTTGCCCCCTGAAATGAAAAATAAATTAGAATTGAAGCAGTGTATTGCCGTAACTTACTTTGAAGGTAAGCAGGTTCTCCTATATGTATAGGACTTAGACTGGAGACATTACCAGTAATTTCCAATACGAGTGCTTTTAAGAAGAACCTAGTTTTAAACTTTGAGATAGCATAGGACAAACCCTATAAAATTCATTTTGCTTTTCTCAAACTAATGGAAGATCCTTTTGAAACTTAATATCTTCAGTTATCAATATTACTGCATTATGGAGCTAGTGCAATCCTGCATAGCCTTAGTCAAAATGACAAGGCACAATAAAAAAATTAAAGTATTATATGAACAAGAGAAGTCATTGAAGATAATTTAAGGCCTTGAAGTGAATTAGAGTATAATCAGTCTAATTTAAAGCTGAAGAATAAACCATAAATTATCCACCTGAAATGCAAGCAATATGCTTTTTCAGCTTCTGTTCGTGGACAAGACAACAGAAACAACTCTTGCTTATGGTTTGTTATTAGAATCCTTCTGGACCTGGAGGAGTAAAAGTCAATTCCATTTTTCTACAGTTCATGGAAGATTTCAGGACTGTTTTAGCCGTTTGCGTGGAATGCCAAACTGTGGACATTGTGCAGATGCTAGTGCTCGGAAGGCTTCTGCTACTAAATGAGGGTGAGACTGAATCATGGACTTCCACCCTGATGTTTCCATTATGTCTGCTGCTTGGCTGAAAAATAAAATTAAGTGATGTTTATTAAAGAGTACTTTTCAAAATGCATTGTTGCATTGTTAGTTTTAGAAAAAACCACACATTTCAAAATGTTTCAAGCACTTTTGCCTCTCTATATCGTCAAGCCATGTGAATTCATTAAAATACCATCTTTATGTTACTGGTATTTTCTGTTGCAATTGAAACTTAAATTCTTCTGGAAGTTCTATACTCTGGAAGTATGTGACACTTTTCTCCATAGTCCCAACTCCCATTGTTACCATTTCTGTACCAGCTTTTTAAGAGCTCTTTTCCCTGGCTGTTACACATAGGTTTTCTCTAGAGTTCCAACTTTTGCCCTCACTCTTCTCTCTTAACTTCATCATTCATCCTATTGTATCCACTCTTTACAATTTTAACTATCATACTCAATGATGGTAAACTACTGATTTGCTAAACCTAGCCCTCCCCACAAGGTACAGTCCCAACCACTTGTTCTATTTGGACAGCCTCAAGCCCTAAAAATTCAGGATCGCCAGGAAAGAACTCAACATGTCTCTATCCAAGCTGCAAATTCTTCTTCCCTCATTTCTAATCAGCTAATGCTTCCACCATCACCCAGAGGTAACATCAAAAACCTGGGAATCATCTTAGACTCCATCCTTTCCAATCAATCATCAAAGCCCTATTTTAATTTCCAAAGATATTTTGAATTCCCAGTCAAGGTTCACATCATCTCACATTTGGATTATCACAACAGTCTCCTAAGTTGTCTTCTAGTTTCCTATCTTGCTCCTCTCAAACTGGCTTCCATGAACTGCCTTAGTAACACAAATATGACTATGTTACACCCTATTGTTCCCTAATGCCTGTACCCAAGTTCTTTAGAAAAAGAAACAATTTTTCCTACTTCCTCTCTCTACCTTTGTATCTCTCCTTACATGCTCAGGTAACTGCTCATTGTATACTGAATGTACAACATGGTCTACTGAGCATGCAGAGTAAATACCTAATCTAGTTATCCTAGTCTCTTTTCTCCCTTATATCCATCCACCATCCAAATAATATCCAAATATTATAGACTGTCCTTTCAAAATGTTTTATCCTTTCATTTCTCTCTAGCCCCAACTGTCACCAATCAACTCTAATTTCAACTCTCATCTCTTGCTCATCTCTTGCCTGCACTACTCCAGCAACTTTCCAATGTGTCTCCTGTGTTTAACCTTGCTCAACTGTCACCACAACCACCACCTCAAGCTCCCCACAATATATTCTCTACCTTGTATGCAGAGAGATTGCTAAAAATGAAACTCTGATCATGCCCTATACTAGGTTAAAACCTTTTATTGGATACCCATTTCTCTTTGAATGTCTAAAAGTCCCAATGTTATTTACATGGCCTTCCAGGATCTGACCTTTGTCTGCTTTCTCCAGCTTCTTCTCATAACCTCTCTCTGACTCTATATTGTTCTTTATCACCAAAACTTTGCACACCTGATTCCCTTTTTTTGGGATAAACTTTCATGCTTCTTCCCTCTTCTTTACCATGGTAACTCCTACTAATACTCCAGGTGTTTATTTATACAATAATTCCTCAAAAAGGCTTTCTTTCACTCCTAGTTTACGTAAGGTTCTTTTGCTGTATGCTTGGGATATACATTATCTATTGTTATGCTTTATTTCAATTACTTGTTTAATTCCTATTTGTTTCTTGCTAAACTAAACACTCCATAAAGGTAGGGGAAACATCTGTCATGTTCATCACTATATTTTTTTGTACTAAGCACACTGCCTGAGGTATTTACTTGATAATAAATATAAACGTATGTCAAATGAATGGATCACCTACTGCTTCATGCTTCTATACTTTGGATCAAGTGATCCCTTCTGTTTATAATGCTTGTTATTTCCTTCTTAGTTTCACTAACTCCTATTTGTGTTTAAAGACTCAGATGTCATCTGTAGGAAGCCATTCCTAAACCATCCAGTCTTTGTCAAGTGCCCTGCACATGTCTTCCTTTATCATGTTACTTACCACATTATGAAATAATATATACATGTATTTCTTTCATTAGACAAATTTCTCAAGAAAAGGATTTTTCCCTATTTTTATATGCAGCACCCTAGCACAGTACTTGAGACACAGATGCTAGGTAAATGTTTGTGGAACTAAACAGTAGCTAAATAAAACAACTTTTTAAAAATTTGCCTGACATCATATTACCTGTATGTAATTATGTTTATCATTTTAACTAACTGTTTGGAGTCACATAAATACCTCTTAATATACCTGGCATTTTCATTTATTTAATTCACAAAGATCTATTGAAAGTCTGTACATACAACAGCTACTCCAGGGGATATAAAATAAGGGGATAAAAAAATTATCATTGAATGCTAATATATTTTAAATTTAAATAGATTTTTCTGTGATCATATACCATGACAATAAGGTATCATCAAATACTAACCAATATACCACCAGTGACTTAAACGTAGTTACTAATTTTTACTTTGTGAAAACAGAATTCACAAACTGATAGGAATTCAGAGTTAACAACATAATAGAGTTTAAAAGAATGGGAAGTAATCAGGTCAACATTCATTTTATTGTCTCTAACACTGTCTTTTTTCACTTAAATCTACTTTTGATAAAGTGTGAAAATGGAATTTAAGGGTTTATTGGTAAAAACTAATCAAAAGCAGGTGAAAATTCAAACTATCAACTCTTCACCTTTTCTGATTTTGAAAAATTACAAAAAGTAGAAAATCACTCTAAAAATAGGAGAAGAAAACAAAAAAGGAAATAATAAGTTCCAATAGTTCATATTCAGAAGGTTGTCTTAGAAAAATGTAACAACTACCACACAGTTTCAACAGGGAAAGGAAAGAACAAACTGCTACCAGTAGAGAATATGAAGCAGCTAGCCTAAAATACTATATGATGCAAGGTACTTGGCTAACCTAAGAAGCAGTGGGTGAGTAGTCAAATATAAAGACTGTCTAGGCAAATAGGGAACATCCCTCATAGGAAAAAATAAGTATTTCCCAACATCTTTAGAAATGTTTTCTGAAGGGACAGGGAAAAAATCTAGTAGCCACTGAAATACATGGGCTCAGCTATATACTGTGAGCGTATGTGCTTAAAAAATTAAACTGTCTATCCCAGTTCACATTAGAAGCTGATCTACAAGGGAGCATAGCCTCAAGAATCCACCAAATCATACTATTATGTTTTAAAATAACTGGCAGTTTGCTTCATACAACTAATATCTGGATTCATACTTATTGTAGATGAGCAAATGGCTATGCAAACACTTAATTTCATGTATGCAGATCAACTTTAAGTCAGAAACTGATGTCATCTTACTTGCTGTTCCAGTTTTTCCCATCTTTACACCCAAGTTGTCGAAGTACACTGCACCTGCATTAAAGATTTAAACACACTTAAAAAAAAGTCCAGTGAAAAAATGTTGAAGGTGTCATACCCACTGAAATACAGGCATAGCTTACCTATTAATAAAGTCTATGGCTTGTGCTTTCAACTGTTCTGCACTGTGCAAATCTGCAAGGACAAGGGTATCAGCAACATTTTCTACCGAGAGGTTACTACACAAAGCTTCTTCACACATGACCTTCAGCCGTTCCAGTGCATACTATCCAAAAGGAAAACACAGCAATTAAACATTTACTCAAACTATCAAGTTTCAAATACTTGGTATTTATAACTTAGAAAATAAATTTAAAGCACATTATACTTTGAACTGAGGGTAAAAAAAAGTCCTGAAGTTATTTTAACCTAATATTTAAGAAGATACTAATCAATGAATTCAAGAGAAAGACCAATTTTCTTTAGGAAATTTCAATTTGTGCAAAATATGTACTGTCAATTTTAAAAACAGGGTTTTATTCTTTAAAAACAAAACAAAACAAAAAAAACAAAAAAACAAAAACCCTTCTTGCTCAAACTCTTAATGAGTGAATTTCTCTTCTCTATTTTAAACACCAGAGTGTACCAGCCAGTACACTGTCTGTTGCCACTGCTCAATCTTGAAGAATGAATTATAAAAGGCCAACAAATCATTTTGATAACCACTTCTTTAGTTATTAGGACTTTAGCAGCTTTACTGAAAATTTATAATTGATATACAATAAACTGCAAATAAAGTTTATACAGTCATATGACCATCATTAAATCATGACACTGAACATAATCATCATCCCCAAAAGTTTCCTCCTACCCCTTTATAATCCTTCCTTTTCACCCCACCTCAGGCCACACCTCTGATATGCTTTCTACTGCTGTAGTTTAAATTTTCTGGTATCTTCTATAAATGGAATCATATAATTTGTGACTGGCTTCTCAGCATAATTATTTTGAGATTCATACATGTCACTACCATTTTATCAGCAGTTCAATGCTTTTTATTGCTGAATAATAATATTCCATTGTGTACAGACATACCACAATTCGTTTCTGCAATCCTCTCTTGATAAACAATTGGTGTTTCCAGTTTTTAGCTATTATAAATAAAGCGACTATAAACATTCATATAAGTTACTGTATGGGAATATGCTTTCTTTTCTCTTAGATAAAGTAGACTCACTGAATCAGATGGCAAGTGTAAAACATTTTTTCTTTTTTAATATTTGAGGGGGAAGGGAAGGACAGAGGATCAGAAGCAGGCTCTGTGCTGACAGCAGATAGTCTGATGAGGGGCTTGAACTCATGAACCATGAGATCATGACCTGAGCCGAAGTCGGATGCTTAACTGACTGAGTTACCCAGGAGCCCCAAGTGTAAAACTTTTAGAGAAGCTGCCAATCTTCCAAAATGGTTGTTACCATTTTATATTTCCATCAGCAGTGTATGAGAGTCCTTATTCTTCCACATCCTTGACTATACTTAGTATGGTCTTTGTAATTTTATCTATTACAATACATTTGTAGAAATATCTCATGGTTTTAATTTATATTCCCCTAGTAACTAATGGTGATGAGCATCTTTTGATGTCGTTAACTGACATTAGTTCAGGAAGTGTTCAAATATTTTCTCTATTTTTAGAAATAACATTGTTTTCTTATAGTTGAGTTTTGAGAGTTCTTTATAGAGTTTATATACAAAAGTCTGTTAGCAGATATATTCTGAATATAAGGTGCTCATCAGATATATGCTTTGCAAAGAATTTTCTCCTAGTTTGCGGCTAGTCTTTTTCATTCTGTGTTTTCTGAGGAAGTTTTAAAATTTTATTTAAGTCTAATTTGTCTATTTTTCTTTTATGTATTGTTGTTTGGTTTTATAGCTAAGAATTCTTTGCCTAACACAAGATTACAAAGACTTTCTCCTATGTTTTCTCTTAGAAGTTTTAGATTTTAGGTTTAAAATCAATTTTGTATGACTTTTCGTACTTGGCGTGAAGTTCACATGAAAAGTTCATTTTTTTCAGGAATATAGGTATCCAACTGTTCCAGCACCACTTGCTGAAAAGACTATCCCTTCTTCACTGAATCGTCTTTGCACTTTCATCAAAAATTAGATATCCAGGGGTGCCTGGGTGGCTCAGTCGGTTGGGCGTCCGACTTCGGCTCAGGTCATGATCTTGCGGTCTGTGAGTTCGAGCCCCGTGTCGGGCTCTGGGCTGATGGCTCAGAGCCTGGAGCCTGCTTCCGATTCTGTGTCTCCCTCTCTCTCTGCCCCTCCCCCATTCATGCTCTCTCTCTGTCTCAAAAATAAATAAAACATTAAAAAAAAAATTAGCTATCCAGATATGTGAGAGCCTATTTCTATACTCTCCATTCTGTTCAAATGAGTTGTCTATCTTGTCACCAATACAACATGGTCTTAAATTCTGAAGCTTTATAATAAGTCTTGTCATCACGCAGTGTTAGTCCTCTATTTTGACCTTCTTTTCTCAAAGTTATCAGATTTCTCTAGGTCCTCCCACTTGCACATAAATTTAAAATTCATTTGTCAAAAAACCCCACACAAAACCTACAAGAGACATGTTGGTTCTACTAATGAATTTTAAGAACTGAAATTTTAACAATATTGAGAGTTCTTTTTTAAAATTTTTTTTTTCAACGTTTTTTATTTATTTTTGGGACAGAGAGAGACAGAGCATGAACGGGGGAGGGGCAGAGAGAGAGGGAAACACAGAATCGGAAACAGGCTCCAGGCTCCGAGCCATCAGCCCAGAGCCTGACGCGGGGCTCGAACTCACAGACCGCGAGATCGTGACCTGGCTGAAGTCGGACGCTTAACCGACTGCGCCACCCAGGCGCCCCAAGAGTTCTAATCCATGAACAAAATTTCCCTTTCCATTTATTTAAGTAGTACCTGAATTTCACTTATTAATATATTGTAATTATTGGTATAGTCTTGAAGGTCTTCTCAGATTTATGCCTATATGTTTAATATTTTTGATACTACTACAAATGTCATTTTTTTTAATTTAAATTTTTATAAAGTTATAGATTCATGTACAGTTGTAAGAAATAATAGATTCCAGAGCTGCCTGGGTGGCTCAGCTGGGTTAAGCGTCTAACTATTGATTTCGGCTCAGGTCATGATCTCACAGTTCATGATCAAGCCCCACATTGGGCTCTGTGCTAACACATGGAACCTGCTTAGGATTTTCTCTCTCCTTCTCCCCCAGTCACACTCTCTCTAAATAAATAAATATTAAAAAAAGAAAGAGAAAAATAATAGATTCCAGCTCAAGAAGAAAGTGGCAGAGTAAGTAGACCCTAGGCTCCTCTTATCCCATGAACACAACTAGATAACTACCAAATCATCCAAAATACGCCAGAAATAAACCAGAAGATGGACAAAACTAACAACTAAAGGGAGAGAAGAGGCGATGTTGAAGAAGGTAGGAAGTGTGGAGACGTGGTTTAGGGGAGAAATGTATCATGGGTGCTGTGGAGGGGAGGAGCCATGGTCATGGAGAAGGGCCAGAGAGAAAGGAGCATACAGGGGGATGTAAAGGAGAATGTTTCCCCAAAAATATTGGTTTGCAAAATGAGAGAAGCTGAATTTCATGAGTTCTTGCAACACGTGGAGATTAAAGCCTAGAGATTTAAAGGTCAGTAAGTGGGCTTGCTCTGCTCCTGAAAGGAAAGCAGACAAACAAGCCAGGAACAGACAGAATGAAACAGCAATCTGAAGAAAATCTGGGACAAACAGGGGGAGATTATTTGCTCCTCTAGGAGGACATTCTTGAGAGGCAGCATTCATGGAGACAGTTCTCCCAGAACAAAGGAGCTGGCCAGCACCAGTTACTTCCCCAACCCCTCAGCATAAACACAGAGCCACATGCAGGAAACAGCACAGGATGGCACTGGCTGCTGAACTTGCTTACAACAAGCTCCACTCCCCTGAGTTCAGGCAGAACTGCCCTTCTCAGTCAAGCTTCCCTCAGTCCCAGCACAGAGAGACCTGAACAACGCCCTGCCCATACTATATCTAACCGTGAGTTCTGCAGGGCCTCAGTTCTGGATAAAGTAGTATCAGGTCTCATTTCACAAGCAGATCAGAGCACATCTAGGTAAAACTTTCCACAATGAGGCCAGGTACCAAACACTGCCTACAGCAGGCAAGGAGAGCATCTGCAGACAATCAGCCTGAAGGATAGAGCAAACAAAACACAATAGGAGAGCTCACACAGCACATATCTGAAGAACTCTATGAAGCATCAGGCCCTGGGAACATGACTTAGGCCATTACTTTCAGAAACAGGAGACATAAATGGCCTTTCTAACACACAGAAGCAGGCAGACATAGACAAAATGAGAAGACAAGGAAATTATTCAAGAACAAGATGAAGTCACAGCCAGGGGTCTAAGTGAAACAGATATAAGTAACATGCCTGATGGAGAATTAAAGTAATGAACATAAGACACCCACTGGGCTTGAGAAAAGAATGGAAAAAGTTAGTGAGACTCTTACCACAGAGATAAAAGAGTTAAAAAAGAATCAATCAGAGATGAAGAATACAATAAATGAGATTAGAAACAGGCTTGATACAATGAACAGCAAACTGGAAGAAGCAGAGAAATGAATTAGTGACCTAGAAGACAAAATAGAAAATAATGAAAACTGAACAAAAGAAAAAGAATTATGCAACCTGAGAATCGAGTTAGAGAACTCAGTGACTCCATGAAATGTAATATTTGTATCATAGGAATCCTAGAAGATGACAGAGTAAAAGGTGTCAGAAAATTTGAGGAAGTGATAGCCGAAAACTTCCCTAATCTGGGGGAAGGAAAGAGACATACAGATATAGAAGGCAGAGAGCTCCCATCAAAATCAGCAAAAGCAGGCCCACACCAAGACATACTGTAATTAAGTTGCACAGTATAGTGATAAAGAAAAAATCTTAGAAACAGCAAGACAGAAGACATCTTTACTTACAAGGTAAGACCCATAATGGTAGTTAGAGATTTCTCAACAGAAACATGGCAGGCCAGAAGACAGTGGCACGACATATTCAAAGTGCTGAGTGGGAAAAATCTGCACCCAAGAATACTCCATCTAGCAGGATACAATTCAGAATAGAAGGAAAGAGAAAGAGTTTCACGGACAAGCAAAAACTAAAGGAGTTTGTGACTACTAAACCAGTTCTTGCAAGAAATATTAAAGTATATACTTTGAGTG